TTTTTGTAAAAGTGTATGGATTAATTTGTTTTATTACCAAGGTTCCCGTCACATTTATTGCAAGCGTCATGCGCCCTGAGCGCGTATATCTCTCCTTTTTCCCCACAAACTTTATGGGAGACCCATTAGTTGCCTCAGGTGTCCTTAAAACGCCACTAAATAACCGCGGGTGCACAGCCACAGGGAATGGACACGTGCAATTAGGGCCTATGAAATCGGTAAATTTATTGTCAGAAGGCACTTTCTTGTTTCGACGTAAATCAAAGCTCATTGCTTAAGGGAGCAGTGATGGATCGGTATGGCACAAGAGAGGGGCTTTTAGCGTGGCATTTTGCTAATAATTATTCACATCGTACGCCGAGTGATGTGATGGCTCCAATCCTCAAGAAAATTGCGGGTAATTTTGTTGTTGCCGTTGTTGTTGTTGCGGTGGCGTCACCGCAACGTCCACCCCCACCGTGTGCGCGATTACTGCCGCAGGGAAGAAACGCGCGGCTGTGATGACGGCCACGTGTGGAGATGGCCGATTGGTCCACACATTCACGTCGCTCGAGTTCTGGGCTCGAGAATCGCGGGCGGCCGCCACGTGGGAGTCAACCAAGACCTCGCTGTGTACGTGCGCATGTGCGTGTGTATGTGTGTCGAACTTCTTTCGCGCCGTACTTGTCACAAATTAACCGCGGTACCTTGCTGTTCTCGTCAAAGAGCATCAATCGTCAGCACGCGGACTCCGCAGCCAACCGCGCGGATCGGAGGTGTGGGGGGAAGGACATTAAACGAACACACAAAAAGCATACTAATAGGGTTTTTACCCTTTTTTCTGGCAACAAAACTGACACCTTTTGCAAGGAATCATGTTTACATTAACCACAATACTTGCAGTCAAATGCAAACAAAAACAATACTCTGATAATGTATGCATTGTCCTTGAAACTGATTGGTCCACACCACACATAAAGCAGTTCTAAAGAACTGAGTTTGTCAATGTAAATGATTTAAAGGTGCATGGCTCCATTGGCTTCCTAATATCGGAAAGGAAGAGCGTTCCAGACGGCCGCAAAACCGCATCTGAAAGCGTCGCGCGATGCGGTGGTCGTCTTTGTCATGAGTTGGTGGCCTCAGCTCGGTTCCCAATGACTGCACAAACCAACAAAAAACTGATCACGCACTTCGTTTAAATTCTAGCTCTGTGAGAATAAAAATATATCAGTTTCACTGGCATGTGTCAAGCTTCACTCGCATATGCAGAATGAGTGGGGAAGCAACGGATGGAATCTAAACAGGTCCAGGGTTTCCCCACAATAAACACTCTGATGGAAAACTCTGTTCCAAAAAACCCCATGGATCGAACCGAGAACGCCTGGATCGCAAGTCTGATGTGCTATCAATGACCGTACACCGCTTGTGCATCAATAAGTCTGGGGGGGGGGGGGGATGAATGCGGTGAACGATGTAAGAACACAGTTTCTACAAATGAGCGGTCATAGTCGTGCTGATATTTAAATCAAAGAAGTGCCGGCCTCGGTGTGAAGCTGAAATAATTTGACTCGTAAATGCCACAGTTCGTCGCCGCGCACAGACGAGACTCGTTCACGGAGGGGAGCATCATGTTGTAGCGACGTTGGCGGCATAAATTGGGTGATGCGTTAAGGGCCCAGCTGGGAACAAAACACCCCTCTGAAAAGCTGAGACGTTTCCCTTGAGCTCCACCGAATTCGAGTCTTGTGTCGTCTATAATTCCACTGCTGGATGAATCCCCCACTCGCAAGCTCTCCAGATGCAACAAGCCGTCGAGCTCCGTGCGCACGAGCTAATTTAAACTACACTCACAAAACAATAACATGGTTTTATTAGATTTTACCAGGCAAGGCCCACTGAGCTATATATGACTCTTTTGTCAGAAGTGACCTGGCCACAAATGATAGCTCAACGAAGTGGCTTATCACGGTGAAAATATATAGCATCAGCCAAAAACTCTAAACGCATGTTTACACATGTGGAGGCAAAAAAACCGAAGGAATCAGAGAAAAATTCACGCGGCCACGGGGAGAGAGAGACACGCACACTCCAAATATACAACACGTGTCAGGGTCGGAACCGAACCCACAACCTCCTGTATACCTGGCGAGGTAGTTAACATTTAACATCTCCTAGCCACCGCAGCAATCCCATCACTCCATCTCCGCGGAGGCTACCCCCGCCCCCCTCTCCCACACTGGGCTCTGTGGGGGGGGAGATGAGCAAATTGTGGGACCTGACGTCTTCCGTGTGAGCAGAGCAGAGCTCCTTATCTACACGCCTGTAACCAGGAGGGGCACAAGACGTGAGATAGAAACCCTTAAATTGGAACAGACGTGGACGCACGATGATGCATTTACTCAACACAGCCTGCACGGGTCAAATCATCACCGACCTTCCGAGCCGGTGATTTCCCTTTGTGTTGTAATTATGTAAATCGTCCTAATGATGTATTCCGTCCTCTGCATAAACCATTACGGCGTGGGGGGGGGGAGGCTTCATCCAGCAGTGGATTGACAGCGGGCTGTGAGTAATTCTCGTGCACGACCGGGTATCGTAGCCGAGATCGTGTCGCACAACAAAGACAAAGATCCCCCGTGGTAGCCTCAACAGACTGTTGGGGCAAGTGCTGTTAGCGAGTAGCACCTAGCAAGACCGGCACTGCACACGAGGGGGTGGGTGGCCAGCACCACGCCCGGCCGCCTTTGTCTCCCGAGTGGCGACGTTTACTACACACCGCTACACCAGGTACTACCCCCCGTCCCCTACACGGTGGAATTGCGGGGGCGGGGAACTCCGCATTGAGGACTCCAACTCGGAAGAGGCGCGCTCAGAGCTGCGACTCCGCCTCTGCAGCCTGCCTCTCTCTCCTCTCGTTCCAGCCTCCGTCTCTCTCCTCTCGCTCCAGCCTGCCTCTCTCTTCTCTCTCTGCAGCCCCCCTCTCTCTCCTCTCTCTTTTTTTACGATCAGTGGAAACAAGAAGATGCTCGATGTAGTCGGCACTTTGCTTCGTTCATCATTTCGTAATTTTTTTTACTTTGCTTTATGTAAACCCCCACCTCTCGCTCACTCTCTCGCTCACTCTCTCGGTCACTCTCTCGCTCACTCTCTCGCTCTCTCTCGTTCTGCACGCATCCCTTCTCGCAGTCCAACGGCCTCCGACGGGTAGCTCATAACTGCATGCAGAGCTCCCCGTCATCTGTCCTCTCTCTCTCCAGCCTCTCTCTCTCCTCTCTCTCCAGTCTGCCTCTTTCCTCTCGCTCCAGCCTGGCCCCTTCGCATCATCCCGCTACTAAGTCCACACCTCGGTAAGGATTCACACTCGAGTTCAATAACCCCCGTCTAAGTGTTGTTTTGTGATTGGTTGTATTTGTTTACGCTGGGTAAGACACATTCAGTCCCAAGCTCGTTTACAACAGTGACCCGCGGAGCACCATCCTTTATTTGCTTTGCTGTTTGCGTTGTCGCTTTCTCTGTCGTTTGCTTTGTGCAACATTAATTAGCTTAATACAAAAAAAACATCGACTCGTGTGTTCCGGTCGTGCCGCGTGCTTTGCTTGGTCTTGATGTCCGACGTTTCGCTCCACGTGCCGGTGAGCATTCCCGTCAGCGAAACGTCGGACATCGTGCCGCAGCAACGCGCGGTGGGAACCCGGCAACTCATCGCAGAGCTTTGCACAGCGCGGCGGATGGGTTCTTCCAAGAACGATGTTTACGCATTTTGGAACATTTGACGCGCGCGCAACAGTTTCGCGTTTGAAAAACAAAGTTCGGAGGAGTTGCCGATTTTGTTCGCACAATTATCCGCGATGTAGGCGCATGCTCCACTTGCGGTTCATAAATTTTTGACCCAAGGGACGTGTAGTTATTTACTCATTTTCGCGTCTCCGTTGTCGCATCCGTTGTAATGCAACGCTGCGTGAGGGCGCGCGCGCGTGCGTGACTGGGGAGCGGTGGCGCAGTGATTAGCGCACTGCGCTACGAATCCAGCCATCAGAGTTCGATTTCACGCTCGCGACGAATGAACCGGTCCTGAGTCTCCCCTAGGCCGACTCAGCCTCAAATGAGTACCTGGTGCGGTGTGTAATTATCAGCATTGGGGACACAAAGGCAGCCGGGGCGTGGTGTTGGCTACCCACCCCCTCGTGTGCCGTGCCAGCCTTCATAGGTGCTCGCTAACAGCACTTGCCGCAACAGTCCGTTACAGGAGATGCAGAAGATTCATCGCACCGATATGCAGGCCCCGCGTGACTGACACCTGGTTAACTTGTGACAAATCGCGCATCGCCCCGCGTCATTAACCGCTCGCTATTTGCAATTAACGTCCCTTTGTCTCCTTAGGCCACTCATCAGGGATACGACCAAGGAGTCTCTTCACGATCCGCTCCTCGTTATTAAGGTGGGGGGGGGGCATAGTGGAGCACTCGGCCCAGTGACGCGGCGATGAACCACGATGCCTCGCTGGCCTCGTCAAGGAGCGTAGACCACCAACCACGCCAACTCCGGTGGTCGTCCTCGTAGCAGCAGCAATAGCAGCATCAGCAGTAGCATCAGCAGTAGCAGCAGCAGTAGTAGCAGCAGCAGCGGCGGCGGCTTTTGGCTCGCTGTCGAATGAAGACGGCCGTCACCGCGTCATCATCGCGCGCTTTCAGAAGCGTTTCTGCGGACGTCTGGAACGCTCTTTCCTTCCGATATTAGGAAGCCACTACAGCTACGCACTTTCACATCGTCCAGATTGACAAACTCATTTCGTTAAAACGTACGGTGCGAAAAAAACTCAATTTACGTCGGTCAACCAATGCACGCACAATCCATCTCGACCCCAAGACGTTTCCCGGCGCGCGCTTAATGGTCACCCGTGCAATTGACAGAACTTGCATTGGATTTGGGCGAGGAAACTCGTTGTTGGTGGAGGAGGAGGCGGGGGGGAGCGGTTGGCGTGTTCGGGGGTGGGGTGTGTGGGGGATGCGGATAAACTAACAACGTCTTGGCAGCATGGGGACCGAGATGCAGGGACCGGCGGCCCTCGACTGCGTCCCCACGAACGGGAGCAACTGCAGCTCGGACGACTACGCCGACGCGGGCAACTCCACCTTGTTCGGCTGCGCGACGCCGCCTTACTGCTCCGACTTCTACATCACCATGCCCATCATCTACTCCATCATCTGCGCCATCGGGCTCACGGGCAACAGCGCCGTCATATACGTGGTGCTCAAGGGCCCCAAGATGAAGACGGTGACCAACGTGTTCATCCTCAACCTGGCAATCGCCGACGAGCTCTTCACGCTGGTGCTGCCCATCAACATCGCGAACCACCTGCTCCTCAACTGGCCCTTCGGCGAGGTCATGTGCAAGCTCATCATCGCCATCGACCAGTTCAACATGTTCACGAGCATCTTCTTCCTCACCGTCATGAGCATCGACCGCTACCTGGTGGTGGTGGCCACGGTCAAGTCTCAGAAGCTGTCTCGGCGAACCTACCGCGCCGCCAAGATCGTGTCCTTGTGCGTGTGGATGCTCGTCACGCTCATCGTGTTGCCCTTCGCCGTCTTCGCCACCACCTACACGGACGAGTTGCACAGGACGAGCTGCTGGCTCGACTTCCCCGAGCCCGAGAAGTTCTGGCACAAGGCGAGCCGCCTCTACGCCCTCCTCCTCGGCTTCGTCATCCCGGTGTCCACCATCTGCGTCCTCTACAGCGCCATGCTCTACCGTCTGCGCAGCATGCGCCTCAACTCGCACGCGCAGGCGCTGGACAAGGCGAAGAAGCGCGTCACGGTCATGGTGTTCGTGGTCATCACCGTGTGCCTCTTCTGCTGGACGCCCTACCACCTGGCGATCATTGTGGCCTTCACCACAGACGTGCAGCAGACGCCGTTCATCGTCGGCCTCTCCTACTTCATCACGAGCCTCAGCTACGCCAACAGCTGCCTCAACCCGTTCCTCTACGCCTTCCTCGACGACAGCTTCCGCAAGAGCTTCAAGAAGATTTCCGAGTGCAAGGAGGCGTCGTGAGAGAGACGGAGGAGCCGGGGGGAGGGGGGGTGATCGAGGGGGGGAGGGGGGGAGGGGGGTTGGCGTGGTGATCGAGAGACGGAGCCCACGCTGGTCCAACGCCGCCCTCGGCCGGATCCAGAAGAAAGCGAAAGTGACGCAGGTGTCCGTGGCAGGAGGCGGTGATTTAGCAGTCCCCTCGTCTCGTGCGCACGACGCGACAACCTTGGCGACAAACACCAAGAGGCCAACGGGCAATCATTGCAGTGCGCACCTTTTCGGCATCTTAACCCGTGGCGTCCCTCTGTATTGCCCGGGTCGTCATTGCCTCGGCGCAGGGTGGTGCACTGTTCGCTTTGAGAGAGGTCGTAAATCGTTGAGCTGTCTCCGTCTCGTGATGCGATTGACGCCAAGAGCACCGCTGTAATGCGACTGTGACGAAAAGAAAGTTAAACGCGTAATGTACGGCTTCAAGCTCACACCGCTGTTATAATAATAGTGATGATAATAATAATGATGACTCCCAGTCCGTTGTCAATCCACTTAGGAATGAAGGCCTCCCTTCCTCCACTTCGCATCGGCCGTCGCTGTTGATAGGCCATACTTCGCCGGGCTGGTCAGTGCGGCTACAGGTTCGTGAATGGGGTGGGTTGGAGGAGGCGCGGGGTGGGAGCCGGCACTTTGCCATGTTCAGATATCGACTCGCCGCAAGAACGCCGACCATGCTTCCACCGCTCAAGCCCCCCAACATCGCGTTGTGAGCAACGCGTAATTGGAGGCAGAGTCTCCGACGCGGCCTTTGATGGTGCCATCAGCGAGGGTCGATGCCGACAACAACCCCCCCCCCGCTCCCCGTCCGTGTGATGTTGACAACGCTGCGCTTGATGGGCAGTCAGTCGCCACGAGCGTTTCCCCGCGCTCGGCCACGTGTGCTGGCGGCCACGTGGAGGGCCGTCAACATCGATTCACTCTCGACGAGCATCCCAATTAGGGGTCGCGCGAGACGACCGTGAGGATGTTGAGATGTATTGATCGATGGTTGATCTAAAGCTGGGTGTGCGTCACAGCCCCCCTTCCCGCGTGGTAAAACTATTTTTTTTGTTGTTGATAGAGTTTATAAATGAAGTAGTTACGTGCATAAGTTAGGTAAAATAAATCAATTCATGATCCTTTATATTAACTATTAACATAAAAAGTAAGTATATTTTAGTCTATTGGCCGATTGGCCTTCCAGGAATGTCCGCATGCTTACGGATTATAAGACTCGCTTTTTACTCGTGCAGTATTCTAAAGCGAAAGTTAGGGCGTGCGTCTTATAATCCGGTGTGTGCGTGCATGTGTGCGTGCATGTGTGCGTACATGTGTGCGTGCGTGTGTTAGAGTAGAGCTGTATAAACTTTATTGGTACCGAGCGTAAGTTGTGGGTGCGTCTTACTTTCCGCAACGTCTCAATCTCCGCAATGTCTCAATCTTACAATTATAATCACCGGGACAATCCTGCCCATTTCCGCCAGCAGCCACTTGTGTAAATACGCTAAAACTCTGCCCCAAGATTCGATCTCCCTGTGACTCATCAGCAGTGTCGGGCGCCCATTCATCAAATAGTGCTCGTTTAGGCGACGCTATTGGTAAGTGGCACTCCCATCTCGACAATGTCAACTCAAGATGATGTGATACAGAATCTCATATCGCTCGAGATGAGAGCGTTTATGGTTATTTAGGTGATAAATCACCTCCCCTTAAGCATCTTCATATAACAAGTATATATATACAGCATACCGTATATAACAAGTATATATATACAGCATACCGTATATAACAAGTATATATATATACAGCATACCGTGTTCTCCAGACGCTCCGGAAAGTAAGACTGACGTTTGCCGTGTGTCAGTAATGGGATACAAAAGTGTGCGGTGCAATGTCGAACTGCTTGCGCATCGTACCTAGCCAACATTGCCAATCGGAGGATCGGGATCTGGTCACACACACACACATCGGATTTTAAGACGCACGCACAATTTGTACGTTCAAAAAATTAAGGGAGTGCGTCTCATAACCAGAATACGGTACAGTATATATATATACTTCATGTAAACATCGTGTTCTGCTCGTGTGGTTGGACCCGCTCACTCACCAACTCGATAGGGTCCTCAAAGATTCACTTTTTGGGAAGCCTCCTCCTCTTCATCCCCCCTCTTCCTCCCTCCTCCTCCCTCCTCCTCCCTCCTCATCCCTCACTCCCCCTCCCTCACTTCTACTTTCTCCCTCTTGCTACTGCCTCCTCCTCCTCTTCCTCCTCCCTCCTTCTTCCTCCTCCTCCCTCCCTCCCTCCTCCTCCTCCCTCCCTCCCTCCCTCCCTCCTCCTCCTCCCTCCCCCCCCTCCTCCTCCTCCCTCCCTCCTGCTCCTCCCTCTTCCTCTTCATCCTCCTCCTCTTCCTCCTCCCTTCTTCTCCCTCCTCCTCCCTCCCTCCCTCCCTCCCTCCTCCTCCTCCTCCTCCTCCCTCCCTCCCTCCCTCCTCCTCCTCCCTCCCTCCCTCCTGTTCCTCCCTCTTCATCCTCCTCCTCTTCCTCCTCCCTCCTCCCTCCTCCTCCTCCCTCCCTCCCTCCTCCCTCCCTCCCTCCTGCTCCTCCCTCTTCCTCTTCATCCTCCTCCTCTTCCTCCTCCCTCCTTCTTCCTCCTCCTCCCTCCCTCCCTCCTCCTCCTCCCTCCCTCCCTCCTCCCTCCCTCTCTCCTGCTCCTCCCTCTTCCTCTTCATCCTCCTCCTCTTCCTCCTCCCTCCTTCTTCCTCCTCCTCCCTCCCTCCCTCCTCCTCCTCCCTCCCTCCCTCCTCCCTCCCTCCCTCCTGCTCCTCCCTCTTCCTCTTCATCCTCCTCCTCTTCCTCCTCCCTCCTTCTTCCTCCTCCTCCCTCCCTCCCTCCTCCTCCTCCCTCCCTCCCTCCCTCCCTCCCTCCCTCCTCCCTCCCTCCCTCCTGCTCCTCCCTCTTCCTCTTCATCCTCCTCCTCTTCCTCCTCCCTCCTTCTTCCTCCTCCTCCCTCCCTCCCTCCTCCTCCTCCCTCCCTCCCTCCCTCCTCCCTCCCTCCCTCCTGCTCCTCCCTCTTCCTCTTCATCCTCCCTCCTTCTTCCTCCTCCTCCCTCCCTCCCTCCTTCTTCCTCCTCCTCCCTCCTCCCCTGCCACCACTTCGCGGGAGCCGTTCTTGCTCTGACACTCAACCAAGGTAAAGGCGCAGCCCTGCAACTGTTTCGCTCACGCCACTACTGGCAGACGGGCCACATCCCGATCAGACGGATATAGCCAGGCCTTCATCTCTCACGGGATAATTTGATCGTTCCCCCTGTCGTTCGTCGATGCAATTACACCTGGATGGCGTGGTGCAGTAACATCCCGATTTTAGTCTCCCCCCTTTGACGTCGTTTCGCAAACACGTCGTCACTCTATCATTCACACCGCCCTTACCCGATTCGCGTCGCCTCGACCCCCCCCCCCCCCCCACACTTACATCGCTGACTTAAGCATCGTCCGTCTGTTCCCGTTATCCGTCGCCTCTCAGCCATCGCCTCCACCCACAGCCCTTGACATCGCTTTCATTGACGCCGTTTCGATATTCGCCGTCGCGCCCTTCCGGAACGCATCCCCGACGTAAACCGGCGTGTTACTGCACTTGACGATTTAACACAGTGGCAGGGTTATACTAGATGTGGTGTTTTCCGGGTGCGGGAATATTTTTTTCCGGCTCGCCGACAAACCCCGGTTGAAAATTAATCTCTGGTTATCGTAACGTTTTTTTTTTTTACGCCGCACCTGGATATTAGACACGTTGGTTATGTGATGACTTCGAAAGCGCTGGTAATGTGTCAGCCTCAATCAGCCCTACACGGGAAAAGAGATCTTTTAATCAAAACATTTCAACAAGATAATCCCTCGAGATGGAACATCTGGTCTGCGACTGTGTCTCAAGTGACGCATGCGTAGCAATCAAGCGATGGCCACCCACACACGCATTAAAAAAAACAATCTACATCGTGTAGAGTGCGCGTTTATACCTCGCCAGATACGACGAGAACACGGGGAAAAACAGCCAAGGGGGCGCGCAAGAACGTCACACCGCCGTTACACGCACACACACACACGTGCGACACATCCCCAAATTCATGTGAAATCAATGCCAGCTGTGATATTGATTCAAGATTATTCAGGAGGGTCTTATATATATATATATATACACATGAGATGTGTTTTGCTCAATTCCATTGTATGTGTGTGTAAGTGCGTGTGGCTGAACTTCTTTCGCACCGTACGTAGCCCACCGTGCTAATCGGAGGTGCGCGTGACGCTCGCAAAGGTTGTGCGCGTGACTTTGAGATCGAGATGAGGGGGACGGAGCCTCCTTCGTCAACGCCGCCACCGCCGCCACGTGACCGGAGCGAGCTCGACACGCTCTCGACAACAAACGCTGACTTGGAAAAAAAGGAACAAGTAGATAAAAAGGGCGACGTTTCGGGCTCACGGCCTTCTTCACAATCCGGAGAATGAATGGGCGTGTTGAGCGCCAAAAAAATAAGATGTCACCACGACGTTTTATACCGCCAGAGGTCAAATTGGAGTCGCGTCAGTGGGTTTCTGGCCAGGGAATATTTCACGGACGCGTCTCTTCCCAATGGAATCGCCGTCACGACGCTGCATGTACGTCGAGCAAGACTGGGCAACTAACGTGACATTTAATCATCAAAACTAAATATTTAAATGTCATTCATTGTGTTGCTTGCGCAAGCCTACTGCGTTAATCTGCGAAAGCTTAAAAGCGTTGCGGTGTGTGTGTGTTTATTTACCGTGCATGTGTATGTGTGTGTCACACGCGGACGGCGCATTAGTCAGTCATCTCAGGTAGTCAACAGATGGCACCTGGGTCTGTCCCGTGATCTCCTGCCAGCAGCGAACCTTCCACACTTCACGTAGCCTCAAGGCGCACCTAGCCTGGCACAATCGCCGTGGTTGATATCACCGTCGTTCCGTGTCGAATGGTGGCTGTTGCTTATGTTGTTGTGAGTCA